CAAAGATGGGGCAATTTGAGCACCAATAAGAATAATAACTGCAAAGAACTGAAACACATCCATTATGTTTAAATTCCTATGTTTATATTGTTACTCAAAAAACAGAGATCAATACTACTTCCCTTTTGGAGGATGTTACGGAATGAGATCATTATTCTGAAAACTGATAAATAAAAAGAAGGTATCAAGTTAAAGAGACGGTATCTTGATTTTTCTCTATGACTCTATCTCAGGGAAACCAAATAGTAGACGAGGGGAAGTTTCTCTTTATCGAAGTATTCCAGCTAATAAATGAAGAAGAAAAAGTAGGGAACATTATTATTTTACAGCCTCTAAAGAAATAAGGCATCTAGGTAATGGTGATCTACAGTCACTAACATCATGAAAACAGAGGCAAGCAAATGTTATGAGCCCCTGATTGAGGTACCCAACACCAGCTACGAAATATCCTTTCCCAAAACTCAAACTTGAATCTGATCATGCTTCTAGTTCCAACTATTAATTTACAGGCAATACAGGGGGCAGAGGAACCTGTTAAAATGCCACAGAAAGGCAATCAGCAAAATTCAGACTGTGGGGAAAAATAGGACAAATGATCCATAAATGGCAAGGAAAAATGAAAAGGTGTGGTTGTGAGAAAAGCTCAGATTAATAAAAGCTTAGAAGATGTACCAACCAATTGCAATGGATCGATCTTATTTGGATCTAGAGTCAAACAAACTGTAAACACACATTATGAGATAATGGGAGAAATCTGAACACTGGATATTTTATATCATTATAACATTAACGAATTGCTGTTAAAATTTTAGGAGTAATAAGATATTATGACCATATTTTTAAGGTCTTCAGTAGTCATACTAAAATATTTATGAATGAAATAATACAATGTTTTGAATTCATCTAAAAATAATCCAGGGTAGGGTACACAGGACACAAAATTGGCCTTGAGTTAATTATCATTGAAAGTGAGTGATGCATACATAGGGTTTCAATATCTTATTCTATTTTTTTATAAGTGAAAATTACCATACTAAAAAGTTAAAGACAAAAGAACAAAATTGGATGGTACCATTGGTACATACCAAATTGTACCAACTTATTCTCCTGGGTCTGGTAAAACAAATGCTAGAAACTAGTCCCTCTGCTTGAAATCTTATGTGAACTGATTTAATCATGTCAACCTCATTCTTTTTTTTTTTTTTTTCTTGAGGAAGATCAGCCCTGAGCTAACATCCATGCTAATCCTCCTCTTTTTGCTGAGGAAGACAGGCTCTGAGCTAACATCTGTTGCCAATCCTCCTCCTTTCTTTTTTTCCCCAAAGCCCCAGTAGATAGTTGTGTGTCATAGTTGCACATCTTTCTAGTTGCTGTATGTGGGACGTGGCCTCAGCATGGCTGGAGAAGTGGTGCGTCGGTGCGCGCCCGGGATCCGAACCCGGGCCGCCAGTAGCGGAGCGCACACACTTAACCGCTAAGCCATGGGGCCGGCCCTGTCAACCTCATTCTTTATGAAATAAGAAGAGGCAGAGAGAAAGAATAATTACTGAAACCTACTACAGGACATAAACATTAAGTAATTTATAAAGAGTATCTTAGTAAACACTGAAGATACTCTTTAACAATAATCCTATGAGGTAGGTTACAATACCTGCACTTAACAGATGGGGAAACTAAGTCTTAAAGAGGCTAACTTCCCAAGCATCATCCTGGGATGCAAACTGAAACATGTGTGTTCATTATATTATACCAGGCTGCCTCCCAAGACACAGGAAAGAGGATGGAAAAGACGGAGCAGGAACCAGCGTGAGCCAGCAGAGACACCTACGGCACAAGATTTAAGGAGACGCTCACTCTCAGTGCCAATCCAGCAACTGGACAACTGTGAGAGTGAGTGCCTCCTTAAATTTTGCACCACAGGCGCCTCGCTTCCCCACCCTAGTCCCTGTACTAGGAAAAGATATTCTTTAATTAGAGTGTGCTTTCTCTGCAGCCTCTGCAGTGAAGGCTGGAAAGTCTGAAGGAGGACTGGAGTAGAAGAGTTGGAGGCTCCAGGGCTAGCTGCCCAGCTGCAGTACACTCACTGTCCTCTGGGAGGCCCTGTGTCACCTGGCCTAGGACGGCCCAGAGCAGCCAAGCTCACGTCAGCATTAGTATTAGCTCCAGTGACAGCTGCACCCTCAGGTGCAGAGTCGGAGCAGGCAGCCAAATACCTAAGTCTGAAGGCCTCTGAAAGTGGACAAAACTGTCCAGTCCAAGATTATCTGTATATTTATTTTCCTGAAGTTGTTCTAGAGCAGAATCGCTCCCCCACCTATGGTTACTACTGGCAAAGCTCCTGGTCTCTGTCTGCACATGGTTCAGTGCCTGTCACCCAGCAGGATTCTAACAAATGGGGAGTCAGTGATGATCTAGAAGAGACCTGGTTTCTGAGGGATGGTTGAGGCCCAAAGAATAAAAACACGCAACCATCTGCACCTGTTCTTCTCTGCAGTCAAGGGAACATGGCCCCAGGTGAGGCCCTGGACACAGGACTAGAGTAATAATGGGATGCATGTGTGCTTTGCTCAAAGGACCACAGACTGAGAATAACTATGGGGTGGCCATCCAGCTCTGGCAAACACTCTTTGCCCTTCGGGCATTCAAGAGGAGTTTGGGGTAAAAATGGGGTACGCCCAGCCCTTATGCCACCTACATATTCATGGCTTCAAACTACAGCCTGATTTAGATATTCTCCGAGGCTCCCAGAACCCTGCGGTGGCTAGTATAGGTGCTCAGCTCAAGCTGAGGGGAAAGTCGCTGTATCCAAGTCAATCTAGCAACCGGCAAAGGCATTTATTCAGATACAATGCAAATGTCTGTGTGCTGTAGGCTGAAGAAATCGAAGCGAGAAATTGTCAGGACTTACTTAATTTCTTACTTAATTCATCAATAATATACACTTAGAAAGAGAAATTAAGACTACAATCCCATTTACAATTGCATCAAAAAGAATAAAATACCTAGGAATAAATTTAACCAAGGAGGTGAAAGACCTGTACACTGAAAACTAAAGGACATTAATGAAAGAAAGTGAAGACAGAAATAAATGGAAAGACAGTCCATGCTCATGGATTGGAAAAATCAATATTGTTAAAATGTCCATACTACTCAAAGCAATCTACAGATTCAGTGCAATCTCTATCAAAATTACAATGACATTTTTTGCAGAAACAGAAAAATAATTCTAAAATTTGTATGGGACCACAAAAGACCCTGCATAGCCAAAGCAATCTTGAGAAGAAGAACAAAGCTGGAGGCATCTCATTTCTTGATTTCAAAGTATATTACAAAGCTATCATAATCAAAAACAGCATGATACTGGCATAAAAACGGACACATAGCTCAATGGAACAGAATAGAGAGCCCAGAAACAAACCCATGTATATACGGTCAACTAATTAACAACAAAGCAGCCAAGAATATACAATCAGGAAAGGACAGTCTCTTCAGTAAATGATGTTGGGCAAACTGGACAGCCACGTGCAAAAGATTGAAACTGGACCACTATCTTACTTACACCATACACAAAAATCAATACAAAATGGATTAAAGATTTGAACATAAGTGAAACCGTAAAATTCCTAGAAGAAAACATAGGGCATAAGCTCCTTGACATGGGTGTTGGCAATGATTTGTTGGATTTGACACCAAAAAAAGGCAACGAAAGCAAAAATAAACAAGTGGGATGACACCAAACTAAAAAGCTTCTGCACAGCAAAGGAAACCATCAACAAAATGAAAACGCAACCTAGTGAATGGGAGAAAATGTTTGTAAATCATATATCTGAAAGGGGTTAATATCCAAAATATACAAAGAACTTATACAACTCAATAGCAAAAAAGCCAAACAATCCAATTAAAAAATGGGCAGAGGATCTGAATAAAAATTTTTCCAAAGAAGATACACAACTGCCCAACAAGTACATGAAAAGGTGCTCCACACCCCTAATCATCAGGTAAATGCAAATCAAAACCACAAAGAGATAGCACCTCATGCCTGTTAAAATGGTTATCATCAAAAAGATAAGAAATAACAAGTGTTGGAGAGGATGTGGGGAAAAGGGAACCCTTGTGCACTGTTGGTGGGAAAGCAAATTGGTGTAGCCACTGTGGAAAACATTATGGAGATTCCTCAAAAAAATAAAAACAGAACTACCATATGATCCAGCAATTCCACATCTGGGTATACATCTGAAGGAAATGAGAGCACTATCTTGAAGAGACATCTGCACCCCCATGTTCATGGCAGCATTATTTACAATAGCCAAGACATGGAAACAAACTAAGTGTCTACTGACAGAGGAATGATAAAGAAAATGTGGTACATATATACAATGGAGTATTATTCAGCCATAAAAAGAAGGAAATCTTGCCACTTGCAACAACTCGGATAGACCTTGAAGGCATTATGCTAAGTGAAATAAGTCAGACAGAGAAAGACAAATACTGCATGGTCTCACTTATATGTGGAATTAAAAAAAAACTGAACTCATAGATACAGAGAACAGACTGGTGGTTGCCAGAGGCAGGGTGGTGGGGTCAGTGGGAGGTGGGAGAAATGGATGAAGGGGGTCAAAAGGTACAAACTTCCAGCTATAAAATAAATTAGTTCTAGGGATGTACTGTACAGCAAGGTGACTATAGTTAACAGTACTGTAGTATAGATTTGAAAGGTACTAAGAGAATAGATCTTAAAAGTTCTCATCTCAAGAAAAAAAAGTTTGTAATATGTCAGGTGACAGATGTTAACTAAACTTACTGTGGTCATCATTTCATAATATATACATATATCAAAGCATTATATTTTATACCTTAAACTAATACAATGTTATATGTCAATTATATCTCAACGAAACTGGAAAAATATAAATTTAATGCAAATGCTCACTGCAGATGATCAAGGAGTGGTTATGGAAATCAAGTGCTACCCTTGGATGCTTGAAGAATTGTCTCCTTACGTGGAAAAGACAGTGATGCTTTCTCTCTCTTCAATCTTAATGCTGTCATCACCAGGAACTGGTGGGTTGCTCTGAAACTGGTTTGGAATCCGGAACCAGACTTTTAATTTCTTCTGTAAAGAGCCATCTTCACTGGGGAACACGGCAAAGGAAATAGGTACTGTCATCCCCATCCCGATTCCTGAAAACGTAAAAACCCATAGAGTGAGATGGGTATTGGAGACAGAATTTTAAGGAAATAATCCAAAATATGGAAAAGGCTATAGGTAATAGGATATTCATAGCAGCAGAATTTATAATTGTGAAAAACTGGGAGCCATTTAATGCTCCAAACAGGAATATATCCAAGTAAATTATAGGCACAGGATATAACATAATGTAGCTATTAATAATTATGCTTAAGAAGATTATCTAGCAACAGTGGAAAATAATTATGAAATATGTAACAGAAGCAGGATATATAATTGCACAAGCACTGTGATTACATTTAAAAAGCCTATTAAAAAGCCCTAAAGAAATACATTCACAAGACAACAATGATTATATCAGAAAAGATGGATTGGGGTGCTGTTTTGTTATTTTAAGATTTTCTTTAATGAGTTTTATAGTTTTTATACATATTTTCTTCGGAAAAAATGTTATGACAGTGTTAAGAAGGAAAAGATTTCTTCTTGACCACCTACTGGTTGATTTATTGTCCAAAGTCTGGTTACTCTGGTCCTAGTAAATGCTACTGAATATCAGTTTCTAACTTTCTAAATTATCAGCTTGAGAAATATCCTACAAATTAAACATGACATCTTTTTCACTTTGCTTTCTGACCCATTTTGGGTTTGCAGTGATTCCAAAGTATAGTCCAAATTAGAGACCTTACGAGTTAAATTTATATTTAAATATGGTTTACATGCTACAGGTACATTGAAACTTCAGGCCTACCATTTTAAAAATAGAGAGGCAGTGGCCGGCTCCGTGGCGTAGTGGTTAAGTGCGCGCGCTCCGCTGCTGGCGGCCCGGGTTCGGATCCCGGGCGCGCACCGACAACGCACTGCTTGTCAGGCCATGCTTTGGTGGCGTCCCATATAAAGTGGAGGAAGATGGGCACGGAGGTTAGCCCAGGGCCAGTCTTCCTCAGCAAAAAGAGGAGGATTGGCATGGATGTTAGCTCAGGGCTGATCTTCCTCACAAAAAAACAAACAACAACAACAAAAAAAAGAGAGGCAGCTATCAAGGATGGCAAAGTCTACCAGAGTGGAACAGCCTAAGAATTCTCAGATCCTTCATTTGCCAGAACAGAGCTAGAGACCTGCCATATTCATTGCTCACTGAGCCTTAGTACCCTGCAGAATCTGAGCTACCAGGGGGCTGACTCTCGAGATTTCCAGCCTGGGGGCGGAGGTCTCAAGTCAGAAGCTGGCCTATCTCTGTGGCTTGGCTTACTGTGAGCACACTTCACCCAGTCAACCAATCCAAAGACACCATAAGCACTGTAGAGTTAAAAAAAAACAGAGCCTACGTCTCCACCTGGGAGAGAAGCATGAACTCAGAGATACTGAGCAGGGATACCACAAAGTGAGGGGTAGGCTGGGATGACGTTAGTGTGGTCCCCAGAGTTCTTTGCTCACGCAGCACAGCAAGCTCACGTACCACTGAAACAGGTAGGGACAGGTGCCTTGTGGCCCCTCTCTTGTGTTTTCCACTGATGAAGTGAGACCACGCAAGGCTCCCCTCTGAGACCAGAGCCACATCCTGCAGGGATACTCACCCTTGTCATTGGTGCCACCCACATACTTCATGACTTTGGGCATTGCTTCCCTTAGAGCCTCATCCACAGGCTTATCCGTCACTTCCACTGTAGCAAACTTCCCGCCCTCACAGGCCCTTTCCTCAAAGGAGACTTCTTCCTAGAGACAGAGAATACACAGAAATATAAAGTAGCAACCTGTGATGACTCTAGAAGCAGTAAGAATCCAGTTACAGGAGGCATAAACTGCTAAGGAACTTTCCATAATGAGCCTGGATACGGTGACAGCGTGGAAGAGACAGGCCTGAGAATAAGGGGCCATGAGAAGTAGATTCTCGGATTTCTTACCAAGGTAGAGACAGCAGAAAAAACTTCATATAATCAATATTCTCAGAGACATAAGAGGAGATATTGCATCCCAAACCACCCAGAACATCCCCAGAATGCTACAAAAATAGAATGTTCAGAGATCAAAGAGCTCTTGGAAATTAAAAATATAATAGAAATGAAAAATTCAGTAGAAAGGCTGAAAGGTAAAGTTGAAGGAAATCTTCCAGAAAGTCAAATAAAAAGGCAAAGAAGTAGAAAACAGAAGAGAAAAGAAAATCAGAGGATTAAGCCAGGAAATCCAACATCTGAATATCAGGAGATTCGGAAAAAGAGAAGAAGTAAAAATGGGAAAGGAGGAAACAAAGAAATACAACAACAATCCCACAAAAGTTTAAGGCCCCAAGATTAGTCTCATTCTAGTAGTAGGGCTGCAATTCAAGAAGGATCAGAGTAGTTCGGTTCACGCTGTACTCCCAGACGTGATTCTTCTTCCCAAGTCACATCACTAAACCATACCCCTGACTCCCTGAAGGCCCTGGTGGTCTAGTGGTTAAGATCTGGTGCTGTCACCGCCGCAGACCGAGTTCACATCCCGGTCAGGGAACCACACCACCTGTCTGTCGGTTGTCCTCATGTGGAGGCTGAGTGTTGCTCTGATACTGAAAGCTCTGCCACCAGTATTTCAAATAGGAGCAGGGTCACCCATGATGGACAGGTTTCAGTGGAGCTTCCAGACTAGACAGACTAGGAAGAAGGACCTGGCTACCCACTTCTGAAAAAATTGGCCATGAAAACCCTGTGATAGCGGGGGAGCACTGTCTGATGCAGCACCAGGAAGGTGAGAGGAGGGTGCAAAAAGACCCGGCAGGGCGCTGCTCTGCTGGGTTGCTAGGAATCAGAACTGACTCAACTTGACAGCACTAACAACAAACAACAACTCCCCTGAATGCTCACCTCCACTGTCACATCCGCACACATCCCTCCTCCCTGGCAGTGATCCCCTGCCCCCTCACAACTCTCTGCGCTGAGTCCCTGTCCTAAGGGCATAATCCTTTCCCACAGAGACCCACACACCTCTCCTTCCACCTCTTCCTCCTCCTTGCTGTTTGATGTCTCACGATATAATTTTGTATTCCTGAATGTGCTGAAAGGCAGTGTTTTTCATACTTTTTGAAAATTGCAATTCACAACAAGAAATACATTTTTACATCATGCCCTATCATGAACAGACACGTGATTGAAAGAAAGTTTCACAAAACAACACTTCACCCTTCTGGACGGGATGCATTCTGATACTTGCCTTTTCTTTCTGTCCTGTTTACTTCTATTCCGCTCCACTCGAGTGAATTTTATTCTATTCCACTAGAAGAAGAAAAACTTGCTGTATATTGATTTTACCATCTGGGAATGGAACCCTAGTGCAGTTTGAAAACTCTGCTGTAAAGTGTTTGTGGACAGGAATTATACCACAGAGCTTTATATGTTAGGTGCTCAATAGATATTTATTTATTGATTAAAGAGCTGCCTCTCTTACTAACAATTAGGAAAAACAGGCACATGATGGAGGACCTGGCTGCCCCAGGCTGGTCAAATAGGCTTTCCTATGACACCCTAGACTGAAGAGTCTCAACTCCCAAGGGGACATAATGAATCTCTGGAGGAGGGAGGGCCTGTGGGGCTGTGAGTGGCCTGTATAGTCTGAAAAAGTACATTTAATATTATAATTTTATATTTATAATGCAAAAATACCTATTGTTTATGTAATACAAAATTAAAGGAGAGTCGTGAGAAAGGAGCCAGGGAAATCTGACAGGAAACCCTGAGTGCCAACTTCACAAACCTCCCTTCACATGGGGTAGGGGAAATTGCACCAGACTGAAAATCAAGAGGCTGCAAATCAGCCTTGACCTTGAGGCATTGTGCCTACTAATTCTGAGGACTGTGGTGAGGCCCTCCCCTTGGCGAGTCTGACGCTTCCAAAGAGCCTTCAGCGGCAAACTGTGTTACGTAACCTTGGGCCGTTTTGCTCTTTCTGGCTCTGTCTGTCACCGCAGGGACCAGACTCATCCTTCATTTGAGGTCCCACTCAGTCCTGCCACCTATAATGTTTTACATTCCAGAAATGCCACTCTGTGAATCACAGAATTTCAGCCTGAAAGAGGTTTTAAAGTTCACCCAATGACACTAATTTCACCAAAAAAGAAATGAAGAACCAGACAGACTGAGTTGCCCAAGACAGCTACGAAATGGTGGAACTGGGACCAGCACTCAAATCACCAAACTCTAGTCTAATGCTTATTGCAAGACTCTATGCTGCTATGGGGGTGAAGTGAGTATATTTTAACCTCTTTCTTTGCTATCGAGTTAGTTCTTTCTAACAGACATTTGTATGCCTGTGTCAAACTCAGAACAGGGGCATCAGAAGTCATTTAATGAAGCTCCTTCTCTTACGTGGAGAAATCAATGACAAGCTCTCACTGGAGAAAAAGCTGGCTGGCTCTTTGCTCTTTCTTTCCTTCTTTAATTCATTCAACTGACAACTACAGAGCATCTACCACGTGCACCGTGCCAGGTGCTATGTTACAGAGATGAAAGGCATGGTCTCCGACATTCCAAGAGGCATGGTCTAGCAGAGGTAGTCAGGAAAACAGGTTATAATCTGCTGATGTGGTTAAGGGGAGAAGAGTGCCAGGGCAGTGTGGGAACACAGAAGAGGACTACTTAGGTTAGTTGAGGGGCATGGGTGTGTGAGTTTACGTGTTTAGTCAGGTCAAGCTGACTTTGAGGTGCTTCTGGATCATCCAACTGGACATTTAGTCACGGATGCATTGATTCACTGAATAAACACTTATTGAAAATCTCTGCCAGGTGCAACAGATTTGGAGATTAATATGATATGGGCAGGCCAGTTGGGTGGTGAGAAGAATTACATAATTATTATAAGATGTAGCAAATTCTCTGATAGTGTAGTGAAGGCAATTCCAGCTGGCGGGTACCACAGGGGTAAAAGGAAGAGTTGAAGAACAGTATGATGATGGTGAAGACTACACGTGGTTCATTGTGGCTGGAGAAAAGACTGTCAAGTAGGGCATGCAAGAGGAGGCCAGAGATTCTGGCAGGGACCAGATCCCTGAAGAACTCGTAGGCTGTCATAAGGAGTTGGATTTTGTAACCATTAGTCCAAGGTTGGTGATCTGACAGCAAGTCAGTTTCATCTACTCCAAATTAGTTCAACTGACTTCTGTGATCCATATATAGGATTCAGCAAGTATGTCTGAGTCTTAAATCTGAGGGGTCCCAGAGCAGAAAAGAGTTCTGGGGAATGGTATAGGTGATCTGTACTCTCAGGCTGTTCCCCAGATAGAAAGTCCATGGCAAAGAAGGAAAGGCTGCCAAGAAAGGAATCCAGTTTGATTCAGAGATGGAAGGTCCCCATGATAAGTTTACCATCCTTTAAGGTTCAGCTCAGCTCTACCTCTTCCTCCTGAGTGGTCCCTCCTTTCTATGAACTCCAAAGGCAGGTAACTCTAGAGCTGGAAGGGCCCTTACACACCCGTCAGTTCATCTGCCTCCTGCTATAGATGAGCAAGCTGCCCATGGTGCAGTTGGACACATGGGTTTGGAGCTCAGCAGGAGACTGGCAGAGGGATGTAAACTGGGGAGTCACCACATAATGGCTAACTAAAGCTGTGAATGAGGCTGAGATTGCCCAGGGAACATACAGAGCATTTTATATAAATCTAATCATATTAATTAATCTCCTCCTAAAAGCCTTCATTCACCAAGTCCTAACCTATCCCAGATGGTCCAGGCACCACCTAGCTTTCTACCTACCTTGACAGCTATACCAAGAGCACCTCCTCACTGGCCTTCTGCTATTTCCTTCAATGCCATGGTCATTCCTGCCTCAGGGCCTCTGCACCTGCCTCTTCCTCTGCCTGGAGTATTCCTTTCCTGTCTCTGCCTGAAGAACCCCTATTTACCCATCAGGTCCCAACCTAAAAGTCACTTTCTCAGAGAGAATCCTAATTGAAAACAGATTCCCCATGAGACTTTTTATAGGCCCTTGTACTTTCACAACACAACAGTTACTGTCATTATAATTGAATAGTAATGTGTTTAACCTCCATCTGCAACCATAAGCCCCACGGGGGGAGCGACTGTCTGCATCATTTACCACCGTATCTGTTAGCGCTATCTGTTAGCGCGTCTTGCACGTAGTAGGCACTCTATAAGTATTGTGGGAAAGGAGGCTGCGGAGTAAAACCTGGTTTGGTTTTACTCTAAGGACAACGAATACAATAGCCATAGCTGGGTGGAGGGATGAGAAGCTAGTCTAATTATATCTATCCTGGAGAAAAGCTAGGTCACAATGTCTTAAGTGGTTCTACGGCAGGTACCGTCTGTTTTAACGGCATCTACGTCCATAACCTCTCATTTGAGCCACTGGATCACTGTGAAAATTTAGGTTTGAGAGATGGATATCATAAAACTATTCTAGTTCTCCAGGGAGCTGAATTTAAATAGAGCTCTCTCTATTTCTGCAGAAAATAAAGCTCCTAAGTCAACACAGTTAGCACAACACATTTGATTCCTCTAATTTAATGTCTTGAGTGCGTTTCCTTGTTACATAGAACATAACAGCCCTCCTCTGCCCCATATCCTCTGCCTCATGCTCCTAATCAGTTACTAGATGAGGATTTTGGCCTGTGGCCACAAACACCAATTTTCAGTGGGAACCCTGGTCAAGTTCAAGTCCCACACGAGATCTTGCAAGAATGCCCCTTGCTATGGGATTTGCAAGGTCCTCTAGAAGGTCAGTTCTTTTCCTTGCCACCTGACGTGGTGAGTATACCTGTTGATTTTGGAAGCCAGCTTTCTCATTATAAGAAAATATTAATAATGATAATCGACCTGAGTACTTTCCAAGTGTCAGGTATTATTTTAAACATTTTACATGGATTCATTCATTCAATCCCTCCCCCAACCCTGTGAAGAAGTTAATGTTTTCTGGGGGCCAGTTCCATGGCATAGTGGTTAAGTCTGGTGCGTTCTGCGTTGGCAGCTAGGGTTCACAGGTTCAGATCCCAGGCGCAGACCTACACCACTTGTCAGTGATGCTGTGGCAGCGACCCACATACAAAATAGAGGAAGACTGGCACAGATGTTAGCTCAGGGCTAATCTTCCGCAGCAAAAAAAAAAAGTTAGTGTTTTTATCTTCATTTTCAGATGAAACTGGAGCACAAGAGGTTAAGTAACATGCCCACGTTACAGTGAGCAAGTGGTGGAGCCAGGATTCAAACCTGGGCAGTCGGGTCCCAACCAATGTCCTCAGGCTGGAAACAAATCCCATAAAGATGTCGGTTATTAATATCAGTCCTGCTCTGAACATCCACAGGACCCGCCCAATCCAACACAGAGAGCTGTGTGTGCTCCTCCCTCCCCAAACAATGCAGAAGGCACCAGATAAGGTTCCCAGCAGCCTGGGCCTCCCCACCAGGTGCCTGGAATCAGTCCCGAACATCTGGTGAGCCGGAATCGAGCTCCTCGGGGCAGACCGTGTGCCATCCACTTGCTCAGGAAAGCAGACAACGGCTTCTGACCCAGACTCTTTCTTTGAGTCTCTCTCAAAGAGAGTCTTTGAGACTGTTGATTTTGGGGCGGGACAGTGAGGGAACCTACAGGTCAGTAAGCACCCTAGAAGAGATTATCTGTTACCTGTGCTCAGATACCTGGGTCACTGGGTGGAAGCTAGAACCATGGTGGCCTGTGTAGCAAGAACTAGAGCCACAGAGAAGCTCTTGGTACCAGAGACCTGATAGGGTGGAGAAGGAGAGGGAGAAATACCCCGGCCCCTCCCTTTCTCCCATCCTCCTATCTCCCACTGGTGCCTCCTGCTGGCAAACTTCGCTGGGAGCCAGCTGACTCTGGAGCCTGGGAAACAGATGACAGGGGTTCCCCACTCCACACTGAGACCCAGAGAGCAGAGCAGGGAATGGGTGAGGAAGGGATCTGAGGGCAACCAGGCAGCAGACCAGCCCAGATCCCCAGCCTGCATTTGCAATTGTCATTAAGACTCAGCTGGCATCCCAAATGGTCCTGAACCCCAAAAGACTAAGTGAGCCCGATTCCACTGCAGAAAGGAAAGCTCTCTGGGAGCAGTCAGAAACACACGGATTCTTCAAGTGTCAGGGCCAACAGGGATCCTAGAGGCCGCCAGGCTGAGTCCACAGACTGGCATGTGCACAGGCACAATCTGGGCACAGACAGATCCTCAATCGGCCTGCAGTGTCTACAGACATTTGTAGTCAGTTGCCAACAGTTAAAACTGACATAGTTGCCCTACTCACAGTCATAGCCTCACCCCTAACACCCCATTCCTTCCTCCCCTTCCCAGCACTGATCACCATCTGCTACATGATATATTTGACTTAATTTGTTCATTAGCCATTACAACATAAGTTCCATGAGGACAGGGATTTTTGTCAGTTTTGTTCACTGTTTATTCCTGTAGCCTATAAGTGTGTCTGGTACACAGGTGGCACTCAATAAATAGTTATTTGTTGAATGAGTTAATTTTAAATTGAGAGATTTCACATGAAGAATCTGGATTGTTGGTTTTCCTTAAAAATCTGGCAACCCTGGTTTACGTCACTGCACGGCCTCAACTGCCTGGAGTTGCCCTTTGCAGATGGGGACCCGAGCTCTCCCTGCCATGTGCCTCAGGCCCCACCTTGCCCTATAGTCTGAAACAGCCAGCTTCACTCATATCCATTACCCGCCCTGCTGATTGCAGGCATTTGAACATGTCATCCTTGATCAGGGCTAAACTGCTCGGTCTACGTACAGCTGAGGAAACTGAGATATGGAAAGATGAAGTGACAGCCCTGTGGTTATAGTTGCGTGAAGAGTCCAGACTAAAGTCTTAGTTGAGGGCTTTTCTGTGACCATCATTGTACTAAGCCCAGAACTTGGCCCCCAGAAAACACAGTCCTTTAACAGATGAGGTACTGAGCTGGGAGCTGAGAAAACAGCCACCCAATGCACAAAGTACCTGTCTGCAAGGAGATCATAATTTAGTGGCAGACTCCTTGTTTTCAGGGGCAGTCCAATTTGCCTGGATTAGCACTGCTCTAAACCCGGGGGGGGGGGGGGGGCGGAATAGAGCAACTATGCGCTCCTCGTTCATCCTGTATTCTAGGCACCAGCTCTGGGAGTTCCATTGGCCACCAAGGCATTTTATAGCTCTGGGCCTTTGCACAGGCTCTTCTCTTTTCCACACACTCCTACACATCCGTGAGGCCTAGCTGAAGACACTTTTCTGCGAAGGCCCCATCCTCACCCCCTGGCAGAAGGGACTGCTTCCCCTGTGCTCCCTGCCTTGCACATTTACCTCTGTGCAGCACAGATCCTGCTCTTTTATACTCAGCTCACCACTAGTTGGGCGTTTCTTAAGGACAATACTTTTCCAGTCTGTTCTGCAACCGAGGGTCTCTCAGCAAACACGTGTTCAGAATGTTTGGAATGTTTAAATGAAGGAAGGCATTCCGCAGGCGCTGTCCATCTCGCCGAGCTGGGGTTCTCTCCTCCAATCAACCTCTCCTCTCCTCTCTGTCTCCCCTCCTCCCAGCAGAGCCCTGGGCCCGGCTGCACCGGACCGCCTACTTCCCGCCTTCCTGGTCCCAGCGCCGGGCACTGAGGGCCGTGCCCACCGAGACACCGTAACGCCCATTCCAGGCCCTCCTGCCGCTCCAGCCCCTGCGGGCCTACCTTGCCCCCTTTGCTCAGGACCTGCCAGGGCCACGTCTCTACGCTCCCGAACAGCGAGTTCTTGATCATGCCCAACATGATGTGGCCGCGGCGCTCCGGACGGACCGGCGGACGTGGAAGCAGGGACGGTGGGGCGAGCGGGCCCACAGAGAAGAGCCGGGACCGGGCGGGCGAGCTGGGGGCCGGCGGGGCGCACGGGGGG